CTCCTCCTCTCCTCTCTTTTCTTTAATTAAGAGCTTGTTTTTATGTTCGTTGAACTCAGTGGGAATCTTTCCATCAAATTAAATGCATTAGGTCAGATTCATAATCAGCAGTCACTGAAACAAACTAACAATAGTTTTGTCACATGCAAGTGCACTGTCTTAACTGGGATTTGCTTAAAAAAAGCAATAGAACTAATCCATTATAAACACTTGTTAGAGCAGAGTTTTGACTGTATCTGTATATTTACTAACACAATTTCAACCAATTTAAGCCAAATTGAAATTAATACCGATTCTTGCTCCAGGTGGGATCATAGGGCAGTTAAATCAATTTAAACTAGCATGTTTTTAGCCACAGCAGTATGATATTGTGTGTTGACTAGACTTAGGTCGGGTTGCCTTACTTCCTTTGAGGGGCAAGGCGTTTTGACTTTCTATGAGGACAAGCTGTAGTGTGATGAAACACATGCTATGTCTAATGTAGACCAACCCATTCAAATTTGGGGGCAAGACAACAAGTTTCTGGGAGGCAAACAAACGTCCACCAAATCTGTCTTTCTCATCCCTGTGTCTACACTCCAGGTGCCCCATAAGCAAGTGGCATCTTGCAAGTCTGAGTGTGGTTTGTAAAAGTCTGGGCAATCCAGCACCCCTAAACACTGGTGAGGCAGCGCATGTCCTTCTGGAGCAGAGCCTTCGAGGAGATCTGTGACCCGTGGGGTCTCCAGCACAAAGCTACAATTTCATGTTTTCACTCTGCTGCTTTATTCAGCTTTTCTTTTGCCTGTGCAAGTGCCCGTTCGTCACAGATGTCAGGGAAGGGTGCATGAGTTCCTGGGCTGATAAACTAAAGGAGTGGGTAGCAGAGTGTCAGGACCTCTTCAGGAGATTGCTGTCCCCCCATGCACATCCAGTAACAAAGAAGAGGTTGCACACAGCAGGGCACTGAAAGTGTAACCAGCCAGGGTAAAATCCTTTCAGAATAACCACTGAGAGGCCCCTGCACAATGCCAGTAAACTAAGAGTCTTCTCATCATTTTCCTTTGTGACCTGCTAACCTTCCTTTGAAAATATATCCACCTCCTAGGCATGGCGGAGGAAGCTCAGTTTTGCAGCAGTCACTTTTTAGCTTCAGAAGGAGTTATCTCCTTCAGATCTTTCTGTCTCTGACTCTCTATTGTGAAATGTGAAGGAAATATAGGCCACGATCTTCTCTGATGCCACCTTGTAAATTCAAGGAATCCCAGACATCCAATATGCTGAAGGCATTCGATATCACTTGACTCCATGTGAGGCACAACAGTTCCCAGCCGATTGGGTGATACAGGACTAGCATCCATTTCTCATGATGGCTTTCTTGAAAACTGCCCTTCACAGCTGGTAAAAGGAAAGTTGATAGGGTGAGTGAGCCAGAAGGGTTGTGAAAGCACTGGGTCACGCTAGATGTTTTAACCTAAAAAACCAATTTGAAATAAACCCAAAGCTGAACATGTCCTAAAACAGGCCATGTAACTGCTAGAAAATGTTTCTGACACTGATAGAACATGATGTATCCACTCTGAATGCACCAATTCTTCTCTGCTAAATGGGAGCAAGCAATGGAAAGAAACTTTCCATGTTTCCAGAGATCTGTGATGGCCACAGTCCCCAGTCTCTGTTATGGTCAGGCCTTTGAGGTTACTGGGGGGGGTTTATATACAGTTGAGCTGATTTATGAGATCTCCTGTTAAATTTTATTGCACCAGTGGCTTTTCTTTAGTTCTTTTGAAGTAGAAAACATCATTTCTGCAGCAAATGCAAGTCAAAAATCTTAATGGAGCATAAAAATCTAAAAGGTCATGATTTTATAGCTTTAAAATGGAGGACAGCGCACTGCTTGATACTCTTAAAAATATGAAAAGTTAATGAGGATGTTTATTGGTAATAAAAAGATATAATCTTCCAGGCCTTTGATTTTGGCTGCTTGTGTATTGGCTTTTTATGGGTGTACTTTTATAAATGAGAAACTCCTTCCTTCTAGAACTGTCCCGTTTCAGAATTACAGAGACAGAGAACTAATAACACGAGGCAGAAACTTTGTCCCAGGGAGATTATCCAGTACTCTCGACACCCAGTGCTGTTTCTCTGTTTGTGCGCAGACGAGTGATTGCATTTATCTGGTTTCTAGGGTCATATAGACTACCTTTATTTATTTGACTTTGTTTAAGACCTGTGGGTGCATGCAAATTTATAACCAAATAACAAACTGTTCCTGTCACACATTTTGCAAGCTTAGGGGAATCACAGTAGCACTATTTACAAACTCTCTTGGCTTTTCACTTGCAGGTAATTGGGATAGCCTATGCTGTTTGAAAAAGAAAAATCTAGAAAATGTCTCCTGGTGGATTTCTTTTGCTGGTTTTGATTTTATCTGAAGTCCTAAAAATATTTTTTCAATTGTATCTTAACAAGTGTTTTTAAACAACATGTAGGATCTTAGGTAAAATAAAAATGCCTTCTTCTGTATCACTTAATGGAGTAGAGTTTGAACAGTTCACCTCCATCTGCTTACAAATGTTTTCTCCAGGTGTGGGCATGGAAAAAGCATTTTATTACAATGTTCATTGTCACTGCTGTTGCAGGGAGAAGTAGTGGGAACAGGTCACGGGACAGAAGCAGTCATGGGAAAAGCCAATACAGCAGGAAGGGCACAGCTTTTCTTCTTCTCAGTAATACAGACTGTCGTGTTTTCTGTCATTGTCTTTGCAGCAGTCCAGCACAGGGGACTTGAGGACTCTGAGGAAAGGGTTGTCCCCATACCACTCTGAGTCACAGCTCTCGTCACTGCCGCAGTATCAAGACGCCCTGCAAAACGTAAGAGACGTTTCCTTACCTATACAGACAGAGCCGCGGGGTTTCCCCGAAAGTGGGCATGGCTGGAGGGGGGCACGTGAAGATTATGGGGGAGCTCTCCCAGCTGAGAGTTCACCCTGAAACCCATGGTGCTAACGCGCAGCTGAAACCTGCAGCTGTTGGGAGGATGGGGAGCCCCTGGAAACATTGATCTTCACCTCAGTTTGGATCATCAACATCCCAGCATAGGTTTTTTGGTTAACTGACGGTCACTGTTGTGCATCTTTTAAAGCAAGGGTGAGCCTTGTTACACCTGCAGCTCCTACTTTGTAAATGCCCTGTATGCCTGCTGTCAAAAAGCTGGTCGTGGATGAAAGTGAAAGGTGGTTTGCCGGGTGTCCAGCAGTGCGTGGTCGGGGTTGCTTTAGCGATTAAGTTCTTAGGACTTTCATTGCAGGTGTTTCTGTATCACAAATGAGGTTTATGTTTCCTGAGATTTGCCTGCATTGCTTCTTCTCAAACAACAGAAGAATCTTGATTAAAGCCTCTTGTGAAAGATAGATACTGTGCTGCGGTGTCAGGCATGTCTGAGGAGGCTGAGCCCTCCCGGATGATTGTCTTCTAGCTGTTTGCCTGACTGCCCGAGACACTGCATTTGCTTGGTGACATCATTTTCCAGATTGCAGGAAAAGCGTAGGTGCAGTCAGGGAGTCCTGCTGTGAGTGGGCTGTGTGTGTTGTGAACGTGAGCAAAAGCCTGGTGGCAGCACAGCTAGGGGACCTCCCTGCTGCTCCGTGTCTTCTGCTCCGTGTCAATGGCACTGGTCAGCAGAGCTGTGGGTGCTGCAGGACCAGTTGTACATTGGCTGCCTGCTTGGGTAAAAGTCATTCTGTAGATTTAGTGTGCTGCTTAGAGCCGTAAGAAAGGGGGTAATAATAATTTAAGAAAGTTCACATAAATAAAACTCCAGTGTGAAAGCACTGCAGGATGGATGAAAACCCTCCAGCCAAAAAAACTGGGACAAAACCATGCAAATGAAATAAAAGTGGCTAAATATCCACTTTTCTAACTTTATGCCCCATATATCAAGTCAGGAGACTTTTTAAGGAGGGCAGAGAGATATGAGCCTGGAGATGTTTGTGTGACTGTGCCCGTGCCTTACAGTTTTGGGGATTTTACTTTGCTTCCCTTGTCCTCAGACTTTTGCTCCCCAGCTTGGTTCCAGGTGGGGGATGCTCAGTTGGCCTGTGCTGGTTGCCCCAAGGAGTGCCACTACACAGGATTTTACATTTATTTTGTGGGATACGGCTGGCAGCTTTCTGCAGAGGAGCTGTGCCTGGACTGGGAGCTGGCAGGAGACTTCTTTGCCTGAGCATCAGCCCCTGCAGATCTCCAGGGCTGTGTGAGGGCTGGCGACAGACGGTGCTGCCTGCTGGAGCCCTTCCCGGCCACTTGTCCTCCTTTCCCTCCTTCCTCAAGGAAGAGTGGCACCTGGTGTTTATGGAGAGGCCCAGGTGCTGCATGACACTCACCTTCATCTGTCACTCTGTCAGTGTTCTGCCGTCTTTGTGGCAAGGTAATAGAGAAAAAAACGAAAGCAGCTCTGGATCCAAATCCACATCATCTGGGATACTTACGTAGCCATTTATTTACTTACTTCTACCAAAATCTCTCTGGTTTGTGGCTTGACATGATAGATTGTTTTTGTGACGACTGATAATGATCACAAATTTGTGCAGATGTCTTTGAATGTCTTGGGCACCTCCCGGAAAGTGGACAGTTAGATGTACCTGACTTTCTCTGTAGCCTTTTCTTTTGACAGCAGGCATGAGTTTGTGAGAAATCGTTCCTCTTTGTGCCTGCACAGGCTTCACATGGGTGAGTGATGGACAATCAGTGTCAGCTCCAAACCTGTCACATCCTTTCAGGTTTTCATCATCGTCACTGCCTGTGCAACTCTTTGGGGAAGTTCCTCAGCACATCCTTCACTGTCACACAGTTTGCACGTAGGCATCACTCCAGCTCTTCGCAGCCCTGACGTACCTCAGTTAATGAAACAGTTTGGTGTTTCTAATGGATTCTGGATCGTGGACACTGGTGCACGCTTGGGATGCAGAATCGAAAGACACTCAGTTACAATCTGTGCGCTGTTTAGTCAGTGGTACATCCTGCAGATCTCATGGTGTACAAGAGGCTCCCCATGTCCTCTGGGAGGTGAGGGTGATTCCCTTGGGCTCGGACTCTGAGTGAGGCGTGAGAGGAGGTGGCAACAAGCAGCTCCCTGTTGGACCTGCCATTCCCCTGGGAAGAGAGAGGCGGGCTCCAGGGCAAGCAGGTTGGGCTGGCTTGATCTTTGCCATCGCCGGCAGCCTCTAGACCTGCTCAGCCTTGTATCAGGTGATGTCCCAGGCATGGGAGCTGACTGGGAGGTACCTGTAAGCAGTGCACTGCTGAGGACCCAGTAGCCAGCCTGGTGTCTGTGTATCAGCAATGGAAATGATTCCAAAACATCCTTGGAGGGCTTGTTCTTGCATTTGCTAGCCCCGGCTGTTGCTATGTCTTCAGTACTTTGGTTCTCCGTGGTACCTAGAGCAGATTTTTTCACCCATGTTGCATTCACGTCTTACTTGCACTGCATGTGCTCCCTTTGTTGCTCCTCCATGTGGATGCAGTAGCACTTGTGATGAGTTGCTGCACTCAAGTTAGCAGCCCTCTGATTTACCACAGGAAGCTGTTGGAGAAATGATGTTGGGGAGTCTCAGATGTGTGGCTGGAGTGCACAGAGAAGGTGATGCTCAGTCTGTCCTGGAAACTGTTCCACTCAGAGGTTTTCTGGAGTATAGAAGTACCAGGTGAGAGTTATCTGCTTTCAGTTTTGTTTGTTGGCATTGTCCAAGGAGTCTGGATTGCCTGGTCATATCGTCTCACCTCTGGTTAGTGAGGTGGAAATTACATTTCAGTAACACCGAGAGTTTTAGGAGAATAACGGCAGTTTTGTGTAATTGCCATTGCAGAGGGAGGAGGAGCCCTATCAGCACAGTGCTGTCAATCAGGACTGGGAGCCATGCCTGCTGCTGTGGAGGGACTCTTCTCCCACAAACATATGTACCTTCTTTTCACCTCTCCGTGCCGCAATACTTTCCTTGAATGAAGTGGGTGGGAAATTACCCATTCCATACCATGGCTTTCAGGCGGTTCTTTATCATTAAACTAAATAGGACTGAGTGCTCCAGGATCCTCCAGGGTGGACACAAAAAGGCAGTGTTTAATTTTTGGAACAGTATAGTGTTGTTGGAGAGTTCACTTGCTTCTCTCATGGGCTTTCTCCAGCATTAATCAAATGATGAGTGAAGACTGGGAGGTGGAGTTGTCCGTGCTTGGTGTCACCTCTCAGGTCTCTTGCTTTTCATAAAGCCACCCTACACTGTGCTTAACCTTTGGTCACATCTAATGATTGCTAGTTACATTTCTGATGTGGGAAGAGTGTATGGTGGAAAAGGAAATTCCTCATCCACAGCAGTAAGGCTTTTATTTCGTTACTCATAGTCATGTTTCAGCAGTTAATTTTCTAAGAAGTGGAATCTCACCTGCTGACCTCTGGAGCATTCGAGGTCCCTGTAGCACAGCTGAGGATGAATGTGGTGGCTGAGGCATGGCCTAGAGCTTGCATCTCTGTCTCTTCTCTGGTCTCTTTGGCCTCTTCATGGGTGCTCCGCCTGCCTACATGGACACGCGGTCCCTGCAGACCTTCACATTCCTGCCTGCTGCCCTGTGGCTGTGCCCTAGGGATGTCTCAGTGACCAGGAATGGGAAGGTGGCCTGAGGGCTGCTCATGTTCCTGTGGTTGGAGGTACCTTCACCTTGAGGAGCTCATAAGCCAGCTGCCTGAAGGAGCTATTTATCCACATTGGCATAAAACATGATTGAAAGTGAACCAGCCTGTTACTAGCAATCAGAGCTAGCCTGGCTGGCTTAGACTTAAAATTTACTAGAGGCGTCCGTGTGATTTGTAATAGGAATCCTGCCTTTGGTGGAAGTAACTGTAGCGGTTTGAATGGAAGTATTAAAGTTAGTATGGGTGGAGTGTAAATGGAAAAGTGTGTGTGCAAACACCAGCAGGAACACTAGAGCAAGGGATGCAGGGATGGCCTGTGCTGGTGGCCAAAGACACAACCGGCAGCAAACAAATGGGTAAACACTATGGGGTGTGTGGTATGTGTCAGGACCAGGAGGTCTGTGCTGTGATAAGGACACAGCACAGATGGCTCATCACTAGAAGACCTGTTCCCTGATAACGGGAGTAAGGTTACACCATGATGTGCCGTTGTGCTTCCTGTGGTTCCAAGAGGAAGGCTTAGATAAGATGCCCAAAATGAGGGAAAGGAGACAACAGGCAGCAGCTTTCCTAGGGTTTATGGGGGGTGAGTAAGCAAGATGCAGAGATAAAAGATCAGCCTGTAATAACCATTGACTCCTAAAGCATGTGAAAAATGTGTCCAAAACCCAGTTCTTTGTTGTCAATGAGGAGGGATGCCAGAGCTGTTGTAGGACTTGCTGGTGGGTGTCACTTGCCCTCTGTGTCACACACAGCGACCCTGACCATGCCACATGGATGTATGCCTTTTGGTGAACGAATGAGTGTGAGTTTGTAGGTGTGTGGGTGTGAGTGACACATTAGAGAAGTCAGTTTTATGTTAAAGTAAGTATCAGCTTTCCCTTCCTTAAGTTTTCGTACTGAGTTTGTGCTGTTGTCGTTTTCTGTGTGGCACCTTGCTGAGGAGCAGAAGCTCCCAACGGTGCCCCAGATGGGTGTTGGGGGATGTGTCTGCAGGTGCTGTAAGTGGTGGCTGGAGGAAGGGACTTTTGCTCATCCAGGGTCTGGAGCTGGGAATCCCCCAGGAAAGTGCCTGCAGATATGCTCTGTGAGGGTTGAGCAAAGCTCCCTCTTTTGAGAAGACAGTGATGATGGTGCCATTGCCCAGTCCCTAGGGACTACAGTAAGTATCTCCAGAAAAAAAGTG